ATGCTTTAAAAAAACGGTCGTTTTATCTGGACCAATTTTAATGGGTAGGGCCTTGAATTCATATATTTTCTGAAAGTTGGTCGTTATAACCGATAGGTCGTTATATGTGGGATCGTTATAAGTGGGTTTGACTGTATCAGCCTAGATTGAACAGTATGTCACAAAATAAAGTTTCCGCGAACAACTTTCTAAGTAAATAATTATTATGTGAGACACATCTTGAGTCATGAAAGAATCCGAAATTAAGACCTCTATCGAGAAATTAAATCCAAAATAGAGGTAAGTTTCGGTTTCGCTCCAGAATTAAAACGCGCATCCTTCCGTAATTAATACGCTAAACACCGTTCTTGTTTTCAGGTTAAAGAGGTGATCTGCGCTCATAAAACATTAGCTTCCTCGCATTACCAGAAATAATTTATGTCGCTCAGTGAAGCCAGCACACTAGACAGGCTCAACAGCGGCACGCATCTCTGACCCTCACTAAACCCGCCATCTTAGAAAATGAGTGGCGCCACCTATAGTTACTTGGAGTCGCGAATAGGCGACCGCTGCGACACGGCCGGCTTGCTCGCTTCCTATGGTTGAAAATGAATTGAAATTGCTTTTATTGCTTATTAGCATCTATTTTTATTAGATTGGCTTGAAATGGCTTGAAATGGCTATACATGGCTCTCAGAACTATTATTTACAGTTTATGCAATTGGAGTGTGTATAGATTTGAATGACTTCAACGGGATATTATTGGCCATATGCATCTATTCTTGACTTGGTTGGCTTGGATTGGCTATCATTGGCTATAAGCATCTGTTCCTGTTCTGGTTGGCTTGAATTGGCTACAGATGGCTATAAGTGACTAGTATTTATAATTAGCAGCTATTTCTTTGTCTACAAACTGGAATGGCTTCAAGTGACTATTTTTGGTTATTATCATCTATTTTTTTACCAGACTAGCTTCGAATGGCTATGAATGGCTATTTGTGAATATCCATTGAATGGCTATAAATAGCTATTCGTGAATATCTGCAATTATACTTGCTATAGCCATTGCTAGCCCATTGAAGCCAATCTGGTCACAAATGAATGATAATAGCCAACAACAGCTACTAAAAGCCAGTCCGGTTAGTAAACATTAAAATTGCTCATAACTATCAAAACTGGCCACTAATAGCCATTTGTAGCTATTTCAAGCCAATTTAATAGAGTAAATGCTTATAGTCAATAATAGCCACTTGTAGCCAGCTTCATCCAAAAACACACAAATAGCACAGAATTGTCAATTATACTCGCTAATAGTCATTGCAAGCCATTTGAGGCGAATCTGGCCAGAAATAGATGCTAATAGCCAACAATAGCCACTAAAAGCCATTCCCGTTAGTAAGCATAAAACCTGCTTTTAAGTATCAACACTATTCACTACTAGCCATTCGTAGCGTTTGTAAGCCAATCTAAATGCTTTTTTATAGCCAGTAATAGCCTGTTGAGCCAGTTTCATCCAAAAACACTGAAATAGCACATAATTATCAATTATACTCGCTAATAGCCATTACTAGCCATTTGAAGCCAACCTTCTCAGAAATAGATGCCAATAGCCAACAGTAGCCACTAAAAGTCTTTCAGTTAGTAAACACAAAAATCGCGCATAACTATCAATGCTATTCACCAATGGCCATTTGTAGCCATTTCAAGCCAATCTAATAAATAAATGCTTATAGCCAATAATAGCTACTTGTAGCCTGTTTTATCTATAAACACTGAAATTGCACAGAATATTTACACACACTAATAGCCATTGCTAGCCATTTGAAGCCATCTGCACAGAAATAGATGATAATAGCCAACAATAGCCACTTAAAGCCATTCCAGTTGGTAAACACAAAAATCGCTCATTACTATCAACACGAGTCACTAATAGCCATTTGTAGCCAAATCAAGCCATTGCAATAAAAATAAATGCTTATAGCCAGTAATAGCCACTTGTGGCCATTTTCATCTATAAACACTGAAATAGCACACAATTGTCGATTATACTCACCAATAGCCATTGCTAGCCATTTGAAGCTAATCTGGTCAGAAATAGATGCTAATAGCCAACAACAGACACTTAAGGCCATTCCAGTTAGTAAACACTAAAATGCCCATAAATATCAACACCAGTCCCTAATGGCCATTTGTAGCCATTTCAATCAAATTTATCTAAAATTTGATGCATAAGCCAATATTAGCCGCTTGAAGCCATACTCATTTTTAAGCACCGAAGTAGCACATGATTATTTAATGATCTCATCACTATTCATCAGCAGCCATTTCAATTCAATCTGGTCAAAAATAAATACAAATAGCCAACATTATCCACTTGAAGCCCCCCATTCTATTTCGTAAATATAAAAATAGCTCAAGCAATAGCTATCTACTAATAGCGGTTTGTAGCCATTTGCAGCCAATCTATTCGAAAAAGGTGCTTGTAGCCAATAATAGCCACTTGAAGCCATTCTCATTCATAAACACTCAGACAGCAGATAATTGCTATTATACTGACTAAAAACCATTAGTAGAACATTGAGCCAATCTCGTCAGAAATATGTTCAAATAGCCAACAATAGCCACCTGAAGTCATTACAGTTTATAAACAGAAATAGCTGCTTTCATTACTCATTAATATTTGTAGCCCCCACATTGCTAGCAAATATATATAAAAGTGGAGGCTCATATCCAATAATAGCCAGTTGAAGCCAAATGCATTCACCAATGCCGAAATAGATAATTGTCAATTATCTCATCAATAGCCATTGGCAGTCATTTAAGGTCAATCTGGTAAAGATACTAAACCCAACAAAAGCTACTTGAAGCCGTTCACAAGTGTAAACAAACAAAAAATCACATAATTATCAATATTAATCACTTCTAGTCACTTAGAGCCATTTCAAGTCGATCTCATTATAAATTGATGCCTGTTGCCAGTTATGGTCACTTGGAGCCAAGGACATCTAATAAGACATGTTTCGGTAGAATTAAAACAAATAAATCAACAAGCTCAGAAAAGGTTAATAATTATTTAGATTGTACAAAATCGCTATACAAATCCTGACTGGTCTATACAACACACTGCATTTTGACATCAAAATACCAAGAGGTCCAATATCACGAGCTTATGCTCCCTATGCTCCATCAGAAAAAGTGAAAGCCGTTTACAACTCCCTGTAATGCCGAATTAGAACGCAGCTCTTGAGGAGGAGGATGGAAGGGTACTGAGAGGAGGCTATACCCCTCCTCCCTATCCTCCCCCTCCCCTCATTCTTCGGAGGGGGTGGGGGAGGAGGGTCACGTGACCTCGAGGGGGGGGGGGTCACGTGACCTTGGGGGAGTCACATGACCTGGGGGTCACGGGACCTCGGGGGGTCATGTGACCTGGGGGTTCACGTGACCTCGAGGGGGGGGGGGTCACGTGACCCCGGGGGGGGCTCGCACGGTGCATTATGGGACATTTTCCATAATGCACCACGCGATTACGCCGACGGCGACGTCTCTCAAGCCGGAAACAGGCGCCTAAGAGATGCGCTCTAAAAAGGGAATATTTCATAGACTATCAATTTCTCTAGTGAGTCACACCCACTCGATTCATTTCCGGAGAAAGTGGCGAGTTGTCCACTCCATACCGCCAGGATCGCTTTCTACTTCCGTCTCCCATTTCACACCGGAGTTTCCTGCATTAGTCTCTACGGTATTTGATTATATCTTCCACACAGGTAAGATCAAAAGAAAACAACAGACATTTTTACAAACATATTAGACCTCGCCTCAATAAGCATAATTCGTGCAAGTTCAAGGGAGTTTGGAACAAGAGCTAGAGCATGACCCAATGTACATTCAGGTGCAGAACAGAGTAGCTGCTCTGAAAAACATTAAACAATGTCTCCTATTCATTGACCCAGCCTCTAGACCACAGCTGGAGAATTATTTCCTACGCAACAATACATGTGTGTGATGACAAATGACGGTATTTGGATGAAAGGCTGGAGAGCAATGCCAAACAGCCTGGCTGTGTAGCCAACCAAGCTGGAATAATGATTGAAGCTGCATGGATATTGCTGGCATTTGAAAGGCCTACCTCCTGCAGGCTTTACGCAAATGCCCTTAGGGTTTGTTAACCTCATGCATTAGCATGTGCCAGATGAGGCAAGACCATTTAGAAAAGGGCCTGGAACGCTGCTGGAATTTGTGAGGCTTATTACGCATGAGCGCCTCAGTGCGGAGGTGCTCACTATGAATCTGAGCAGAGGCCGTGGGACCTATTTTGCATACTTTGACTTAAAAGGCATAAAGTTTTGCACGAGCTAAATGATTACAAACGGAGCAGGCTCAACTTACGGGCCAACTGCAGGGCAGCAAAATGGTTAAGGGGCAGGCTCAACTTATGGGTCAACCGCAGGGCATTCTGCACGTGTGCCTTTGGTTCTGGCGGATAAACACCTAAACTGAGCAAAGCTTTTGGGGCATTGTTTGCACTTGTATGATTTTTGAGGAGGGACGAGTCTTTTACATTTTTTAATTTCTCATTTATCGTGCTGAAATTTAGGATACTGATGTATTTTTCAGTGGTGATTTCAAATATGAAGTTAATTTTCAGATAGCTTTACTAGATCCTGAGTTATCAATAAATATGACATTTTAATTAGGTCCTCCTTCTGGGTCGTTAGTGGTTCATAAAACTGACTATTTAGTTAAATTTTTCGTACGACATATAAAACAAAAAAAAATAGCATAACCCCACAAAGCATATCTTTGTGAAAGCAATTCTATAAACATTTTTTATATATTCTTAAGAATTTTACACTAACGACTCGTAATGAGGGCCTAATCAAAATCATAAATTTTTTGGTAGCTCAGGATCTAGTAAAGCTATCTGAAAACTAAACGCATATTTGAAATCACGATTGAGGGATACATCAGTATACTAAATTTCAGCAAGAAACAAGAAAAATATAAAAACAATAGACCCTCGTTTCCCTTTAAACACTGTTTTCGATAATGGTGGATCACACTGGTACATGAGAAAAGACTTGGGGGCACTGCTTGCACTTAAATGGCTTTTTACCTCTATGCATTTGATGATGGTTTTGCACAGAGGAATTTCGAGTAAAGGCAAGGGGCACTGCTTGCACTTAATGGCTTTTCACCAATGTGCATTCAATTATGGCTTTGCAGAGAATTGTAAGAAAAGGCTTGGGGACCCTGCTTGCATTTAAACGGCTTTTCACTAGTGTGTGTTCGATTATGCTTTGTCAGATAGGAATTTTGAGCAAAGGCTTGGGGGCACTGCTTGCACTTAAATGGCTTTTCACCAGTGTGCTTTCGATTGTGGGCTTGCAGATGACAATTTTGAGCAAAGGCTTGGGGGCACTGCTTGCACTTAAATGGCTTTTCACCAGTGTGCGTTCGATTATGGATTCGCAGCTGCCAATTTAGAGCAAAGGCTTTGGGGCATTGCATGCACTTAAATGGCTTTTCACCAGTGTGCATTTGATTATGGCTTCGCAGAGAAGAATTGTGAGAAAAGGCTTGGGGGCACTGCTTGCACTTATATGGCTTTTCACCAGTGTGTGTTCGATTATGCTTCGTCAGATAGGAATTTTGAGCAAAGGATTTGGAGCACTGCTTGCACTTATATGGTTTTTCGCCTGTGTGTGTTCGGTTGTGAAGGATCAGATTGCTACTTTGAGCAAAGGCTTGGGGGCACTGCTTGCACTTGAATGGCTTTTCACCAGTGTGCATTCGATAATGAATTTCCAGGGAGTATTTTTTAGCAAAGGCTTGGGGGCACTGCGTGCACTTAAATGGCTTTTCACCTGTGTGTGTTCGATTGTGGGCTTGCAGATGACAATTATGAGCAAAGGCTTTGGGGCACTGCTTGCACTTAAATGGCTTTTCACCTGTGTGTGTTCGGTTGTGGTAGATCAGATTGCTACTCTGAGCAAAGGCTTTGGGGCATTGCATGCACTTAAATAGCTTCTTACCAGTGTGTGTTCGATTATGACAGGTCAGAAGGGAATTATAAGCAAACTCTTGGGGACAAAGCTTGCACTTAAATGGCTTTTCACTCTTGTCGTTTTTAGTGTTGCCGAGAACTTGAGACTTTAAGGCAGACATGAAAGGATGTGGACACTTGGATTGTTCATCACCGTGGGCAGCCAGGTGGCTCACAATTACACGTTGATCTCTGGTGACAAAGGTGCAGGAACAGCATCCAAACCAGATGTCCTTGGTGACTTTCAATGGGCAACCAGTCTCCCCCAACAATGTGGCTCCATCACCTAGAGGAAAACACCATAAGTATTGACGGACTAGGAAAGCCCAACCAAAATAGCCACTTAGTTTGGCAAAAGATTAGTAATTAATGCAGTTTTGCCACAGCTATACAGTTTAATATCGTGCTGCACTTTGGGATTCGGTTCACGGAAACACTCAAGTGCAAATGGCACCATTTGCACTTGATTCGGTTCACGGAAGCACTCAAGTGCAAATGGCTCCAATGTTGAAAAGTGAAAAACTTAGAAAGAAAATTAATTTTACACATTTTTTTATATTTTGCTTTCTAAATCACACTTTACATATCTTCTCGCTTTTGAAAGTATTCCTCTTCTCAAAATGTCCCCCTCTCTTTTTTTGTCACAAGAGACTCAGTCATGAAAAGTTAAAATCTGAATCTGAATATTTCTTGGGGGCTGCAGCCCCCAAGAAATATTTAGGTCCAGATTTTGGATACCTCATTATTCAAGGTGGAACAAAACAATATTTCTGGAGACTTAGATATGGCGTTTTCTAATTGGCCAATGACTGTTCCAACTATGGCAGGTCAGATCGAAAGTCTTCCTTCAAGTTATCAGTAAAAGAATTTCAACATGTGATGTAGTCCTGTTTCGCTAATATGGGCGCAACGCTATATAGACACAACTTTGGGGGACCAATCCCCATGTAACTCTGCCTCATGAATATTAAAACCCACACTCCAGACTATGAACAGCTAGTTTTGGGAACAAGCTGGGTAAATACATGCAGGTTTGTCACATTATTATGGACACATGAGGGTCCTCTAATAAAAGAAAAAAGCTTAGTTAAGACCTTGAGTTAGAGTTTACCGAGAGTTTCACTACTCGATTTGACTGGCCCATGTCTAGATTAATCGAGTTTTCAGTGAAAGTGGGGGGCACTTCCTCGGTATACTTTTTTTCTTGACACAAGAAATTAGACTTTTGCTAATTTGTAATAGAAACTTAATAATTATGTCTTGTCCATGACTATTTTGGCCCTCCGTCACTAATGAAAAAAAGGGATGGCACACATTTCTGTCACACATGTGCAGTCCCTGTCTGTGTCACGCACGTGCTAAGAAAACGTGCAGGTGGATTACAAAAAGACCAGAAAGTTTTATATTCTGTGCTTCCAAGGTGAAGTAAAATGTTTGTGAACTTAAAAGAAAACAAATGACTAAACTTTCTAGACAGGACGCTAAACAAGCTGAATAAGAGAAGCGACTGAACGCCTTACTGCAAAAAGAAATGCATAGATATGTAATATGACATTCCTATTGCGGGCCATGGTTCACAAAATCCGGAGCAACTACCCAAAGTATGTTTCACATTAAAAGGAAAACTGAATTTTGTAGATGATAAATGAAATTTCCAGAGAACTCTGAATTTCGGGTAAAAAATAAACCCAGGAGAACACACTCCGGTTTCACTCAGTAATAAACTTAACCCCTTAACTGCCTTGGACAAGCTGAGCTCGTCGGCCACTTACTGGCTAAAAATGCCGTGGACAAGCTCAGCTTATCCAGTGGTTTTTTTGGTTGCCCTGAATTCCACGGACAAGCTAGGCTCGTCCGAGTAGTTTTGCGGCGCAGATCATAGATGGCAGCACTCGTATTAGTTGACAAATATTTTTTTGGCCTCCGCTGATTTTTGCGTAATAAACTTTTCAAATTTTATGTGTAATACTGGAGGAGTAACAATTCAAAATAAAAAAATCTGGCCCTTTTAGGTTACTTTTGGAAAAAAAATTTGGCACTTATGGGGTTAAAAAAGCTGAACCTTTGTTATGTCACATACTAGGTGCCAGAGGGCAAAAATAAACATTAAGATGCTCCAAGCTCTTCTACCTCAATGGTGGGTCCACAGGGCAATACACTGAAGTGCCACCCATGATAAGACAGTAGTACACTTGGCCCACTTTGAGCATCATGAATGCCAATAGTGCTCGACAGAGGCGGCAAGCTCTGCATTTAACAACGTAATGGTTATCGGCCCATGAGGGCAGTTGCCCTCTGGGTAAGTGTTACCATAACCGTTTAACCAGTACTACCCAGTTTTCTCCAGTTTCAGAGAAAACCAGCTGGAAATGGGAGATGGGCTATTGGAAACCACCAAGACAGCATTGTGTGAAATTTAAATGTAAAGATTCTCGGCGGGTGGATGGATAGATCAGGGCACAGGACTCTTCATTCAAGCAAACCCTTGAACCACTCTGCCCAAATTATAACTAAATTTCGTCTTTGTTTTATTTTCTTGTTACCTTCCTGAGCCGTTTTCACCATTTCTCCAGCAATCTTAGTTTGCTTCACCTTTTGGAAACCACTAATTCCTTCATCAACCCCTCCAATCCCAAAGCAAAAAAAATGTCTGCCCCAGTCTGGGATATGTACAAGACTTGCCATACTTACTCCACGCCACTGGTACCTTCGCCTGTCCCGTTAGTGTACAATTTGTATCTGCCTCCTCAGATCTTGTCCTAGAAGTCCCGGCCCTTAGTACTCATCTTTGTCACACAGAGAGCAAACTTATTTTTTGAATTGTCAAAAAAGTTGTTTTCTTAATCCAAAATTTTCTGCATAGTAGGCTTCTTTTCCAAACTCAACTCTCTCCTATTTCTTTCAGCTTCCTTCACTGCCCTCTTAAAGGCCGACCTGCAAGACATTTTTCAATCAGGGTGAAAATCCTCCTTGCCACCCTTTCCATTTCCCCCTGTCTCACTATTAACTTGACCACAGGGGGACTCTCCTTGTCGCTGCATGTTGGGGCTGGATGAGCTGGGATAAGCTTCCGGCCAGGGATGGGCAAAATACATGCAAATATGTATCAAAATACAAATTACTTCGTCAAAAATGTATTTAATTACAAACCTAATTACATTTCCAAAAAAGCATTTAATTACAAGATACAAATAGAACCAAATGTATTTGGTCTCCTCCAAATACTTTTCCAAATACATTCCTCAAAATTTGCATCGGCGACTTCAGGGCACCTGCAGCGGGTTTCTGGGCATCTCATTTTAATTTTGCATTGCACACTCGGGAGTTAGTGTGCGAGGCTCTAGTAACGTAATAAAATATAATCACAAAAAAATGTAATCAGCTTGGACGTAATAGGTGAAAAAAGTACAGAGCTTCAAGCAGCTTTTTTTGTCGATTACATTTTGGTATAGACCAGCAAAGAACCGAGACGACCAAGACGCGCAGCACTATAGTCGGTTACAAGTCAAGACGGTAGGAGAAGCTCCTCCCACAAGTGTGATGCGCCCGTATCAAATCTCTCCGCAGTCGAAAGAAGAGTTCACTGGAAACGCTCCTTGTTCCGCTTCAATGGATTCCCACTTGTCTCCGATCCCACTTTTTACGAAAGCGACCTTTGTATTCATCGGAGAGGGAACCGAGCCCCTGAAAGCAGCCTTTGTATCCATCGGGGGGGGGAAACTAATCCCCGAAAGTCGTATTTGTTTCCGTCGGTGGGGGAGAACTCTAATCTCCCTCTCGTGGCTTCCACAATGCTAAGTCAAAGTCAAAAGATAAAGCAAATTTGTACAGAAAGGCAAGACCCTCCTCGCGCGTTGGCCGCGTCGTCACGGAAACAATGGGACGCTATTGGATGCAAAGGTGGCGGAGGGATATCTGATTCCCTTTGAGGGGCATTTGCCGCTACCTTCTTAACCTGTAACTGACTATAGCTGGAGAATTTTTTATTGTTGCAACTCGCACCAGTTACGAAAATCTGGACGACCCGCGCATTTAGAATGTTCCAGGCAAAAATATGGATGGAAATCAGGCTGGAAAGCATCACAAGTTGTCACAGGCACTTATTTAGCCAGTCTGCCTGTGAACGTCGATTTTGTCACTATTCTTACCCTGGACTAGCACCGTAATCACAAAGTCACTAAACGCTTGTGCTTGATTGAGAGACTGCATTCGGTGCAGAACATAGTTTTCTTCCTGCCCTGGACAGTGCCTTTAAAATAAAGCCGGAAGAGAAAAAGAAAAAAGCCCCATGGCCGAATAAAGGATGGATATCTTACAACCATATGCATAAAAACAAGAATTGTAACTTTGGCAATAACATTTATTTAACGTAATAGACGCAAGTGCCGCGGGCGCCTAGCGTGCCCGGGCGCCCGCGGTGAGCGAGACGCGAACTGCTGCAGGACTGGTGTATGAAGAGATGAAGAGTTTCTTGGTTTGTTGTTGCCGTTGGCGTTGAGATGAAGAAAGAGCAGCTTTGGACACGACTTAGGATGAGCAAAATGAGTCGTGACAATAAATTTGAGGGATGTATTTTCGCCCACAAAATTGTATTTAATTACAACTGTATTTGAAATACCCACGTTTTAGTATTTAAATACACACGTCAAATACATTACCCAATTTGTAATTAAATACAAATGCAAAATACACAAACTATTTAAAATACGTATTTCAAATACTTGTATTTGAAATACTGCTTATCCTTGCTCCCGGCTTATCCAGCCCCAAGACACAGCAACAAGACAAGTTCCCCCGCCGTCAAGGCAGCAGCGAGGAAGAAATGGGGAGGGTGGCAAGGAGGATTTCCACCTTGGTTGGAAAATATTTGGCAGGTCAGCCTTTAAAGGGGTACGGAAACAAAAATTGAAATATTCAAATTTCATTCGGAAATGAGTCAAGCATGACGGATAATAACCGTAAATGATAATCGCACCTTTGTATTTTGAACGTCTGGCTATATTTTTCGTTCCAAATGGTGCACTCGAGCAATCGCTCGAAGAGAAGCGAACAGAGAGTGCAATATGTCATGGGATATCCGGCTCAAACAAAAACAGAAAGAAAATATTCCCCGCATTCGTGACGTAGCAAGGCTGGCGTGGTTATGAGCTTTGCCCTTGGTGGCGTTGTCAGCGTTGTGGTGTCAATAGCGTCGGCACGTTACAACCGAGCCGTTCGAAGTACCCGTGGGGGGACGAGCATGTGGCTGGCCCAAGGAGCACGTAGCTTCCACAACACTGTCAGCTTAGGGCTGAACGGGGTGGGGAAAGCAACTTTTGTCTGAGTTTTGAGCGACGGGCTAATCTTCTAGGGGGAGAATGGCTGTGTCCGGTTGCACGAACAAGGGTCCGAGAAAGAAGGGAGTCCTTCCTTTCCGTCTTCTTGGACCGTTTGGTACAATGTGCGATTTGTGAGTTGAGCTAGGAGGAAAGCTAAGGAAAATGTTGAAATTCCAAAAAGCGGCGCTGCTCCGAAGGAATCTGCTACGTCACGACTACGTAGCAAGTTCCCCAACGTTCCTAGATTACCTTCCAAATAGTCTCTGCATGCATCCACCAGGTGCACAGTGAAAGATTGTTTATTTAGCTTTAAAATTAGTTTTCTTGTGCCTTTCAGTAGAAGACGTGTTTTTGAGGTTAGGGTGCAACATGCAACACATTCAATCTAGAAAATGAGCGCTGGAATTTCGTTTCCCTACCCCTTTAACTGACTGTCCTCTACATTCTTTTCCAGCATTATTCCAGTACCTGGTAAACAGCCCACTTCCCGTCCTCTATCTACACACCAATTGTGTACAGGAGCCCAACATTTAGCTTGCCCAACGTTAATTTGCTGCTGCCATGAACCTCTCCTCAAATTCAATTTTGCTGCTTGCCTCCATCCCCTCATAGAGAAACCCAATCACCTGCACATTTCCGTCTGGGCTCTTAGCTCCCCCGGTGAGGGTCTCCAAATCGGTGCAGACCCCAGAGAGTCTGTGGACAGCCGTACATGAAGCGCTGCTGTAGAGTATGACCGCCTGTAGTCTAGACACCGTCACTGTCCTCTGTTTATAAAAGAGGTGGAAACCAACAAAAAGACTCACCACGACTTGAGGACTGAATCGGTTCCATTCCAATCGCTGCCCAAGGTCAGGTTCGTAGGGAGTTTCGTAAGATCAAGAGGGATGCACGGGACCACTTGAGATGCTAGGAACCAAGTGCAATGAGCAATGAGTGAGCACACCCTCCAAGTGCATCAAGCTAGTCAGACAGATATGAGAAGAATGTGCAAGACACACCAAGGATTTGCACATTTCAAGATATCTATGATGAATGGATGAGGAAATAAAATGCCTGTGTGCTTTGCAATGGGCGGCAGTGCAAATTCCTGTGCGGAGGTCCCTAAGGCAAGGATGGCCCATGTCACCGTTGTTATTCGATTTGTATTTAGAAATTTTTCGTTTGAGTGTCTCAAATAGTAAAAATTGTTAGCAGCCTGTGCCACCTAACTTGGAGTTTGAAGATATCTCAAAACAACCTGTTCTGTTTTGCATTGCCAGTACGGTAAAAACACTAACTGTTAAAGGAGTTAGCACTTGCACGATACAAAATCTGAGAGGACTATATGGCTGGAACCCATTGGGTGTACCCATATCAACGATAAATTTGTTTTGTAAGTTCTATGAATCGCGGGACCCTTGGATTTGCCTATTCAGGACAACCACCATGTTCCTCTTACCACAAAAAGTTCCGAGTGTTGCTAACGCAAAACATGCACCAGGGAAAAATATTTTTTTATTATTCAATATAAATGAATTAAACTTCCACTGTTTTTAATGCTTGATCTCCTTTATATAAATCTTCTGTTAGTTGGGATATAGCTTGTTATATATGTTCTGGATGCTCTGAACACGCAGAGAAAAAAAAACATGTTCTTGCACTCACGCGGGGCATGGCAACACTTAATAGAGCCTAGTGAAAAAAAACCACTAATTTGCTCTTTTTAAACCGCTGAGTGTAATGAGCAACAAAAATAATGCATGCTAGACCTATTCTATTTTAAGATACTCGAAAGCATCAAAAACACCACTTTCGAAGGGCTAACAAAGGTTTCTTAATGTTTTCTTAAATATAAAAAAATATACATTCTAATTAAACCTAGATAGTTGCAATCCATATTCTAAAGCATATGCATGCCAAATTGGGTTGTACAGAACAATATTAAAAACAAAAATTCTTGCTTTTGAAGATGAAGAATGTACATCAACCCAGTTCAACTACACTATATTCAACTCGTCTATTGAAAATGCTCGAACATATGAATATCTTGGGGTTCACTCCACTTGCAATCTTTCATGGGAGCCTCACATAGATTACATCACTGCAAAGGCTAACCAAACCCTCGGTTTCCTGAAGCGACACCTCTACCTTGCAACACGGGACACTAAACTAATCGCATATTCATCTCTCGTTCGACCCAAGCTTGAATATACATCTGTCATCTGGAATCCGCATCAGTCATATTTAATCGATAAGTTAGAAGCCATACAAAACCGAGCTACTCGCTTCATACTTCGTAACTACACCTGCACAAGCATTACAGCATTAAGACAGCAACTTAAGGTTCCACTCCATGCAGACCGTCGGAAAATGTCACGGTTGATTGCCCTGCACCAGCTGTACTACCATTCGCCATACAAAAAAGATAAGTATATTAGAGCCGCCATCCACATCTCCTCGCGCACAGACAATACGCCGAAACTTCACGTCACCACTCCTAGGACTAACATCTATAAGTTTTCCCCTTTACAGCCGTCTATTACCGACTGGAATTCACTCCCCCATAACATTGTAATAGAAGAGCCCAGCACGTTTCGAGCCGCACTTGCCGCTCTTTACACGTAATTAACCTAAACTGTTTTTGTGTTTTTTCTTTGTGAGTTTTAATATATATTGCTGTTTGTTTCCCCTTATGTAAAGCCCCCTGAGGGCGATATAAGGGTACAATAAATGAAATGAAATGGAAATGCTTCAAAATTACATAAAGAAAAAAATGTGTCTGAATGATAGCGTTGATGCGTAGCGACCTCTTCCTCAGTGGGAAAAATATTTTTACAGCCCAGCTGTTAAGGGCTAGTTTCCCCACGATCATGTCCCCCACAAAGAAGTGAAGTCACTGAACTCTAGACACATACCGCCATCTATAAGCGACGGCGGCAAACCACGTATTTGGTTGCCACCGTCGCTCATAGATGGCAGCAGCCTTTCCACTTTGGCTTGCCGACTTGTGGCCGGCCGTTACTTTCCATTGTACAGCTGCGCTGGTCTTCCTTCTTCACAAGAGTGGAAAGGCTGAGAGTTTTTGTTAATAATGTTATGTGAGCAATTGAAGCTGCACAAGACTGCAACAGAGCGGAGACAATGTGCTGGCAACGACAACCGTTTGAAGGATGGTTGTCGTTGCCAGCATTAAACACTATAAAACCCCAAATTAAATTTGTTTGCAAAACATTGCCATTCTCCGATCCGCATCTCCCCTTAACAAAATGAGCAATTATATATAGTTTCAATAGAGGAATATATACTTTGGGAGATGCTGTACCGGCACCACTGCACCAGGTCTCATGCAAGCAAGAGGGAAGATGTTACAGTCCATTCATACATATAAAACGTATGGTCTAAGCTTCATTGCCGAGTGTTTAAGGTTTACGAACCTGAAATGCAAACCACGCAAAACTTGATCACTGCAGCTAGTAATCATATTAACGAACAGCATATCCCCTGAAAGAATTTGCATTCTTCTTTTTCACCGCAGAAGCGATTCCTTGCCGAGTGGACAGTCTCTGCCCAAATAGTACTAACAGTTGAAACCAGGTGCCAGAGCTTCCAAACTTTTATCTTATTAAAAAGCTATAGATGACTTTCTGATAATGCAGACGGGAAAACAGGACCCATTCTTTATTATCACCGTCATTCAGCTCCCATTGAAAATTTCAGATCACATGCAACTTTTTAATTACAGGGTGTCTCAAACAGCGGCCAGTCTCTCTAAATCGATTGCAACAATCGGTTCCTTAACCTATTGCGCTATGATTTTGTGCAGCGTTGACCGGTGGTTTCGCTGGTCAATCGGTGGTGCATTTTTTCTATAAAATTTGCAAAGAGCGAACTTGCTTGAGGAAAAAGTAAGAAAAGACAAAGGCTTAACTCTTATGAAAATGCAGCGGAGCCACCGGTCTTCAAACAATAGGGCACCCTATTGTTTGAAGACTGGTGGTTTCGCTGAGTTTCTTCGGATATCTCTGTTGAGTGGATGGATGCTAATGGCTGCACTTTTTCTAACGGGCGGTAGCTTGCGCCACCTAGCTTAGAAACCAAAATTAACCAAAGGCATGATTCCTCCCCTCGGCCCTTCTGAAGAGATTCTAGAGGCTCTCAACACGGCTAACCTCGCCCTTGCGAACGACACACAATGCAAGGCAAAGTATGGGATGACTCAAAATCAAGCCGACGTCAGCCGTGATCTCACCCTCATCGACCCAAGGCTCCCCATATAAACTGGTCCATCTACCTGGACGCTTGGGGCAGCGACCATTTCCCCATCGAAATTGCCATTCGTCACCAACCACCTCAAAACAAGACGATTATGACGATAATGCCATTAATGCAAAGGTGCAAGCGAGTCAGATAAGAATAACAATAATCCCTGGAGAAGGGGAACAAGGGGGACAAAGGACAAACACAAGCTCCAAACACAGCCAGGTGTTTGGTGTGCAACTGAAAAAATCCACCCGATCCCAGTATCGAACCAGGGACCTCTGTTTCCAGTGGGGCACTCTACCCACTGAGCTAACCAGGAGATAGACGTCAGTAGAGCAAACAGGTTTTAACAGCTGCCACCAGTCTAATTCCAAGGGTGAACGGCCTACATTTCAAGGATGTGATGATAACGCAATTAACGCAAAGGTGCAAGCGAGCTGGACAAGAATAACAAAAATAATCCCTGGAGAAAGGGAACAAGGGGGACAAACAACAAACACAAATCTCCAAACACAGCTAGGCGACTAGTGCGCGACTGAAAAAATCAGCCTGGTCCTGGTTATCGAACCAGGAACCTCTCCATTTCTAGTGGAGTGCTCTACCAAGTGAGCTAACCAGAAGTTAGACGTCAGTAGAGCAAAAGTTTTTTAACAACTGCCACCAGCCAACAAGGCTGAACGGCTTGTATTTTAGGATTATGATGATAATGCTTCCACCATCAAGTGGGACCGCTTCAGGAAGCTATTATGCTGTATGCTGGCAGCACTCGCCTCCCAGAACCCTGCAATGCAGCTATCACGCTTCATAGTGAGTGCCACGGAAGAGGCTGCCATCGTAAAAAAAAAGCAAGACTGCCCCACGCCGGACACCCACCTTCTGTGTCTTTGGAACAGAAGAACACAGAAGCTCATGGAGTACAGGACTTCAAAGCTACAAGAAGGGTTCCAGGAAGTCAACAAACTTACCCAGGAAGTAGCTGACTATGCAGGACATCTTAGGATCAATGAATGGCTCAAGTACTGTGCCTCCTTCATCCAGCGTACGTCAGTCCACATATGAAGGACCTTTCACGGCATGTTAAGAATCACCAAATGTGGAAAGACTGTCGAAAACATGGCCCTATCACTCTGGACAAACCCATAAATGAAATCATAGAAAATCTAGGCAGCACCCTCTTCCCCAAACCTGCATATGTTCCAGAAGATGCTGTATACAAGCCAGAGCCCCCACCGGAAAAACCACCACTGTGGAACACCCCAGTGATCATTAGAGAAATGAAGACTGCCATACGCAAGGGCAAAACCAAGTCAGCGCCCCAGGCCCTAATGGTGTCACTGGCAGCATGCTCCGTAGTCTGCCCATAGAAGCCAAACAAACTCTCCAGATGTGGTTCAACAACATCTAAGAAAACACCTCCCCAAAAGAATGGCGAGAATCCTGGGTATCGCCCATTACGAAAGCCTAACACCCCGAAAAGCACCCGACCTGTCCGCTTACATCCATCATGTGCAAGCTTCTAGAGAAAATCGTCCTTGCCCGCATTGAGAGGATAGCTGAATCTCTCTCGGTATTCCACCCCACACAGACGCACTTCAGGAAGCACCTCGG